TATCTTTCCTATTTCTTTTCCTCAGAATTATGACACCGAATATCACTGGGATTGTGAACCAATGATTTCAAAACATTCTAATGGGTACCTTCAATGAATTATAACAATACATTATTTCTCATGACCTTTTTGAGCATTGTTGCAGTTTTACCTATGAATTCATAAATTAACAATTTAGAACAATGGAGAAGTTTAATGATGAAAACTGTATGAGCGTACATGTATGTATATATGTATGTACCTTACTGACATTATTTATTGTGAATGAAAATTAAATTTCGAGAGTAACAAGGAAAATTAAATGAAGGAAAACAGATAAGGAGGCATAAAAATAAAGAAAAAAGAAAATAAATTAAAAACAGAGATGTTTCATTCACTACAAAAAGAGCTTATCTGTCAACAAATATTGATATAATTAAAATTCATTTTTTATGAAACATGCAACAGTTCATTCATTCTTAAAACATGCACAATCACTCCCTTTCTTTCAGAAATATTTTTAACATTCAATGCAGTGTGTACATCATTCACACATTAATATTTCTTGTTCATACTCCTAATATAAGCACTTTCCACACCGACTAGCAAGTGTTCACAACAAATCATTCAACGGAACGTAATACCATGATCCCATTATGACATCAACATGCATGCCAGCATAGTCGTACACACATTCAGCACAAGTTATTCCCAGTACTCAAATTGATCATGAAACTTCCACAACATTATGAAGTTACTAACACACTTGTTTGGGGTCAAGACAAGGAGACAATGCATTAGAGCCATCTATTTAGGAAGTTGCTGTATGTAAGCAACAGTTACAAACAGCCAACATTAATTACCATTTTTGATTCTCCTTTTACAACACTGGAAAACCAATGAGAACAAATAAATAAGAGTTTTCCAGCTTTTTGTTTCTTTAGATACTTCCTTGATCTTCCACCTTCCCCCAAGCAATATTTACAAGTCTACTACAAAAATTCTAAATACAGTAAGGAAATCTCATTTAAAGTTATCAGTCCTGTGAGCAATAACACAATATGATCTAAAAAGTACTCGTACATGAAGTGCCATTCTTCACTTCCAAAAGAAAAGAAATGATCAGTTATATGCATACTGCGCTGATATTACAACACACAGTAAACAAATACAAATGCCCCGTATTATCTACAATGGATATTACAGGCTGTATTATGATAGGCCAATGTATAAACTGATATGTCAGCTGAAGTACCTTCACAAGCAGTTTTCTTTTGGCTTGCAAGATTATTTTTACAATTTTATACCACAAAACTTTCAATCAGGCCTCTTTCTTGGTACATCACAAAGCAGAACACAGGCCAGTAAATGTACTTATAAAATAAAACATGGAAACATAGATATTCAATTTACAGAATTTAGGAGAAGAGACTGAAAGATGAACACTGAGCTGACCTGTGATATAACGAAAACATTAACTGGAAAAATATCCCAGCAAGATTAGCAAATCATTTAATAAAAATCAGTTTCTAAATACCTCCATTTTCTTTAGTAACAATTCAATAAAAGTATGGATAAAAAATGATTATCATTCCCATTCACATCAACTAATGGAAAACAACTATTTCAATATTTCTCGCTCAAACACATAAAAGTAGGTTTTGCAACATTAGTTCTTTCAGTCATTGGCTTGAAACAGCATTACAGAATGAAGTACCAGAGGTGGGAACAGCAATTAAGTGCAATGGTTAAGAAATATTAATCAAATTAAATTTCACAAAATATCATGACTTCCAAAAAAGCAAAAAAAAGTTCATATTTAATACACTTTGATCTTTAAGTGTGTGTGATAAAAAATCCCCTTTCCTCATGGAGAGAAAATATTTTCAATCAACTCCCAAGAACAGTGATCTCAAACATTCAAAGAAGCAAAAACCAGACAGAGTTCCTTCAAATGGCAAAAATACGATGTGTTGCATTATGAAACAATCAATAATCAGTTTCATTTCTAAACAAACAAAAGAGTTGAAATATTTTTAAACAAGTCAAAGATATGAAGTTGAGGAAATGAAAAGGCAAAAATCAAAAGTTATACATCATTACAACAAAAGCACAGGTCTGAAGGTTCAATAGAAATTTTGAGAACAAATTTAGTATCTTAGAAAAAAAAATATGAACAAGAAATTATTAAACAAATAATTATTTTCTCAAAATATTATTTTAAGAGAAAAATCATTAACACACAGCACCTGCTCTGATGAACATATGTAGTTTCAATTTCGATAAGTTGTGTTTTCTCATAAGGTTTGTACTTGTATTTAAAAATACTATAATTCAATGTATCAATACTTTCAAAAAATACTGTTGAAACGTGTAAGTTCATAGAAATAATGACAAATGCAATAATTGTAGCAACAAATAGTAATGATGTAATGACAATAATGTAAATACAAAACTGCACTAAATAATAATAAAGAGGTGATCAGTGATAATTATCAAGGCAAAAATTACCTTCTTTTGGCTAATTTTTAAACACATACGTACAAAAGTATTGTACGGAGTACCATTTGTACAAAACAATTGTCCAATAATTCAGAACCATTAAACTTCTGCCTGCTTTCTTAATATCCTACATTTTACAATGTGTTTTGTTACACAATCTCCACAAAAAAAAGTTTTGCCAGACAAACATAGTAAGATTTTGCCTATTTATTCTTTGGAAGATGATAACTATTTAAATATAACATTTCTTTTTTAAGAGTTGCTATTATTTTAAAATTTATTTGCATATGCCTTCGGTAAGTGAGTTCTCAACACTGGTTTATTGCATTCAATATTTCTGAATTCAATTATCAGGCAGTATTCCTCGATTCCAAAAATAAAATATAAAATAGATAATAAATTTGATTTGAGACCACTGACTGGGTATGCAAAGGAAATGAGAAGCTCTGTCCCATGAAAATAGAGGCAGTACTTTTTAGTGCATATACAGATACATTATAATGATCATGTGCTACAGTACTGTCTAAACATAATTACTACCAAGATACATTTGTTTTCAGAAGCTATCTTAAAAATGAAAGGAATATTATTATGCATGATAGTGTGCCCTAAATACTAATTGGGTGAATCACAAATAAATAATATCCTATTCAATCACTCCAAAAAGAGATACCACAAATATGAACAGTTTTGTAAGCGAGTTATCTTTTCAATACATAGTCAAGCAGATTAATAGTTTTAACAATCAAGAATGGTACCAGTGAAAAATTACTAACAATAAAAATGAAAACCAAAAAAACTTTTGACTTTATAAAGCAATAAATTAAAGACTGATGCACACACACATGCTACTATAGATACAATGATCTGATTCTAAACATAAGAAAAGATAGAAAACAAAGAAAAGCAGGAAGTAACAAGAAGAAATCAAATGAAGGTTATGATAGGTAAAATGAGAGTAAAAAAATACCAGGAAGAAGAAAAAGGAAACTGAATACATTTATTCAGCAATCAAAAGCTCATGCATTTAGATTTTAATGAGAAAGATCATTCACAAGTTCAACTAAACAGATTCAATGTCTCAAGTTCTTAAATTTTGTGCGGTAGTAATCTTTCACTTGTAGAGACTGGGACGGCATAGAAACATGTTTCATCAAATAGAAGGTGTATGATTTTGACCAGCTTACTGAAGATAAGTTGCTGAGCAAATCATACAAACAAGTAGAGTGTGGAAGGTTTCAAATCTATTTAAGGAGCTCTGTGGTAAGGAATTTTATTTCTAATAAGAGGATTACCCACAACTACTAACAAAGCATAGTTTATGCTTTCATAAAAGTATCTTTCTCTTTCTTCTCAATCTCAATATGCACAAAATATATAATATGCATAGTACATACAAGATCATATGCATCTAACACAAGAAACATTGAGAAATAAGCCTGAATATATTAAGAGTATGCAAGTCATAGCATGGTTAAATCTTGGGAATGATATTACATTTTACAACAGGAATTTATTTGCAAGATGATAAATAAATGTTATAAGTATCCGTCATTTACTTTAAAAATATTCATAGAACAGAAGATAAATACATGACATACACCAGGTACTGGTTGGTTTACAATAAACATTTCCCCTTACTTTCTCTCTCTCTCTATATATATATATTTATATATAGCTACGTCAACTCTGAATTACTATAAACATTGTATTACATTACAGTAAAACTAGTGTCCAAACATAAAAGATAAACCTCATTCATAAAGCAAATACTCTGAAACATAGTGGTCAGTTATGTGCTTATTATGTATATATATAATATATATTTTTTTATTTATATATAAAAATCAATGCCTTCAATGTCACGAGACACACATCACTCTATCAATGAACTGCCAAGCTGCTTTTCCATTCAGTCTGTTTGCAACATTTCATAAGGATTTACTACATTTCCTATAAGTGCGAGTTTATAATGGATGTGAAGAGCAGGGTAATAAAAATTTTAGCTACCTTTTAAACCAGTAACTAATAATAACAATCTTGAAGATGACAACACAATTAATTGTTGTTTCTTTAACTACCACATACAACTTCATTAATTTGATCCTGGCTCTTACATATTGTGGAGCAATTAGGCAATTGAGTCATTGGGCCAGGCCAAGCGCTGGTCAAGAAGTGTCATGTGACAGTTGAACCATTGGAGTTGGCACATGATAACAGCATCCCAAGGATGCACAAACAGCTGTCAACAGTGCAGTGCCAGCACCCTAGGACTTCAATTTTAATTACATACTATCAAAACAATCACTCAAGTCAGAAAAATGTAAGTAAAAACTAAGTCCAAATCAATGCATAGTTTAAATCCTATTAAACCCTTGTGTACCAAATGAGGGGATACATGTATGTGTATGTGTGCGTGATCACACATACACACATCCCCTCTTTTTGGGGGATACATATATATATACATACACATATATGTATTCTATCTCTCTCTCTCTCTCTTTTACACACACACGTACGCGCACACACACACACACACACACACACACAAACACAGACTCGTATGTATTCACAAACATTTCTTCGCGTTCACATACACTCGTGTGCATTTTGTCTATGAGCTACCTACAATCAAACAGGATGGGTAGTTTTCTACCTCACGTAATCCTGAATAAAAAGGCATTGTTTATCTTGATCATGCTTTAAAACTCATGCACACATATTAAAAACGAGAATGAAAAGTCATAAAGCATTTGTATAAAACATCAGTACAATTAAAATAAACTGTAAATCTCCTGTCAAATTTACAGGAATAGCACTACCAAAAGGAGGTAATGCTCAAATGAGCAAGAAAAAATGACAATGCATTTATCTCTAAAATCCATTGTAGCAATTCTTATTCTCACTAAAGTTACAACTTGCTACTATCTTTTCATTTTTGTTATAAATAGTATACAAGGAACATGTACTAAGGTTGGTGCCTTGTTTCAAGTCTAAAATTTCTGCTGCAAACTGATAGGGCTAATGTTGCTAGCAAAATTGTCTTCAAGAATGTTTCACAAAAGAACTTTCTTAGATACTGAATTTTAAAAGTCACAGAAAACACCAAACACAAAATCGAGTTTATCATTTATGATGTCCTTTTGTATCAATATCAGTACAAGGACAAACATGAATACAAATGGAATGCTTGTTCTAACACCAACACACAAATGTTCACTTTACGAGTTAACCTGAACCTGAGAATAAGACTCAAAGGGGTCTTGGATGGCATCCACACCAATCCGACAACTGACCAGGCGTTCAGTCACTTCAAATGTCTAACACAGGAGACCTTCCTCACAAATGCTGGCCAGGACATTTTCTTAAAGCAACGCAACCGTTTAAACTATACTGATATATTTACAAAAATTTCACTTGCGTTCCAACTGTGAAATGTACACTTATGATTAAAACTGGATGCTGATGGAATAACTGAGCACATGGCATAAGAGGTATAGCAGGAGGGAAATATCTAACTTGCTATGCTATCTCATGAATGACTATAGACAAAAGATGGCAGACAGAGCACGGCACATCTCTTCACACCCAGGAGTCTCCTCCAGTGGGGTTCTCACTATGGGCATCCATCACCACTCCTTTAGCTGGTTCTTCATAGCCCCACATGTCTCCAGGCCCTGGAGGCAGTTGGCCCTCGAATGGTGGCTGCGCCCCAGCCTCATACTGCCGATTCTTTTTCTTTTCTCGATTTACTTGAGCATATAATGGTTCACCTGGCTTTGCTAACTGGAACACCCAACACATCATCATTAAATGGTTGACTCAGAACTCAGAAAAACATCAATGTTAAACAAGGCATAAATCGATATACTGTACATAACTTTCTCTACATAGGATTGCACCCCACATCTAAACATGATTTTTTTTTAAACAAATATTTAATATTACACACAGTTTTATTCATCACAAAATGTACATGTGCTTGGAATTATTAAAAAAAAAGTTATTTAGAAAACTTGTACACTTTTGAAGGTGACAAAATATAACTTCACATTGTAACTAACAATTTAAAGACAAATACAGAAGTAATAATTAATATTTTCAAATTTTCATTGAAGTATTCCATTTGCAAAACACCACTTTGTCTATGAATTCAGTCAACGACATGTTAAATATAAAATACTTATAACTTCTTATGGTGGTTTGAAGATGACTTCTTGTTCTATGCTAGAGTACAATTAACAATCAATTACTTCAGCAATAATAAACATTCATATAAAGATAATTCACAGTTAATTTGTTTCAATGTTCAAATACTGGTTGCATGCACATTAATCACAACATGCTTACAAATTTTGTGAAGACACCAAACAGCATAAATGAAGACCATTTTTTTCTTCACTCTATTCCTTCATGCACAAGTCCCTTACCATAAGAAATGCATGTTGTGCGACATACTAACATGTGACTCATGCTGGTGTAATTTTGTACAGAATCATATTTTAATAAAATTTCTTCCATACAAATTACAGAATACAGTTGTAAAACAAAAATTCTTGGATAGAAATTGGATTTTAAAAAGCTCTAGAATGGTACAAAAGATACACTAATATGGAAAGGAGAACAAGTTCACAATAATGAACTAAAAATTATAGTCAAAAGGGGGCCATGAAAATCATTCTGAGTTTAATGGCTGAAAATTTCAAAAGAACATGAAATTAACAAGTTTAATGTATTACTACTCAAAAATGGAAAAGGTAAAATGATTACACAATAAAAAATTGGTGCAACTTGGCTGGCATCAAAAATATTGTAACTGCTTTATGCTGTACGTGATTGGTGATATACTATTACCAATTTGTCATACTAAATTTGACCTTACTATAAATATAAAGATGTTAACATCCAATATTAATTGTATTATTTATACTTGTACATTTGATTATGCAAATGAAGAAAAAGAAAAACAAATTAACTAAGAAAATAATACCTAATACACTGCACACTTGGCATGCTATTGGATCTAATATATACATATTTTAAGAGCTGATGCATCAATCAAGTTCATTCAATTACATTTCAGCTCTGAAAGGTGCATGTTTGTCTGTGATGTATTACTGCAAAGAACTTCTCACTGGATGTATTACTTTACTTATTTGTTTCAACAGAATCAAAATGAAAAGAGCCAGGCTATTTCAACAAAATCAGAAAGACTGCCAGACTGAATATGATTCAGAAGGGATTGCTTTATCTTTGCACTTTTATGAACTAATAGGTAATTCTTGTATAGGAAACAAATTACATTTCCCACATGATACCATTAAATGCTGATTATTGTGATCTAAAACAAAAATACAAAAATTTACCATCACTCCATATATTTAAAATTCTATGAAATTGTAATACCCATTTGAACATATAGGAAAAACAAACAAAAAAATTAATTAAATAAAAAGATTATTTCCATGCAATACCTACCAGAATTTTAGTTGTTTGAAAAATTCTGAAGATGCCCAAGATAAGAAACATTTGCCTTTGTGAATCACAATGTTCATGGATAGGAGAAAAGTTGTGGTGGACTTGGCAAAAGTGTTCGGAGAGTGTGTAGACTGCCTAAATCTGCTAACACTTCTGAGTTTCTTTTGTAGATGAGCAATTTGACAAGATAGTGAAGGAAGGGGAACTCAATAACTAGAAGAGCCTTACAAAAAACATAAAATAACTGTGTATTTTCCAACATATTTTCAGCAACAGCAAGCTCCAGTTCTGATATACACACTCATTAGCCAAATGATCTCCCACCATACAATACTCAATGTATTATGTAAATAACATACACTAATATTAACATTATACATACATGTACATATACATTACAAGGGAAACAGATAAAAGAACAGAATAATGAAGAATTAAACACTCATTTATTGCTTGTAATATTTTATGCTAATAATTATGATAATGACATGCCATTCCCACACAATAGAAAACAAGAGCCCACAGAACTTCACACAACTGTACAACATACAAAAGTTTTTGAAAGACCTTGTAGAGTGATGGTATTGAAGTCTATTTTTGTATGACTTTACTGTCTTGCAACATCACTTAACAAACACTTAAAATGATATGTGAACACACAATAAAACAGATAACACAAAGAAACCATGATTATTCAGATCATTCACTATTGCGAAGAGAGCAAAAACGTTATAGTTATTAATGCCATGAGGCTCATCTAGAGCAAATAACAGATGCAGTTCAAGTTCATAATCCGAAGCAGTAGCTGGGATGTACAACCAACAAAATCCAGCATTTGTGAAATCAGCATTCTATACTTTTTGAAATACCACCTTCTTTTGTGAAAAGGTCATATGATTAAGAAATGCTTCCTTTATAAAAAAGAGAGTAGTCTCATATGCCATCTTCAACTACAACTCACTTGTTTCAACTGTTCTTGATGGATGGCAAACTGTTAAATCCTTAATGAATACCAACAATTAAGAGTGGTTTTCCATTTAGCTGTTTGGTTGCATAAAGTCAATATAACAGTACAGTATTACAAAAACATATGTTCATAATGATATCTACAATGCTCTGAGCTTTTGAAAGCAAAACAGGACAAATACAAAGAACAAAGCTGTTGAATGTTAAATTTATGTAGAAAAATCTGACATATGTAAATGAAATATGGAACTATTGTGAACTGTTTGAATCAATCATTGATTTCCTATGATCTGAACAAACAAGGTTGTACTGCCACAAGCCCACATGCATTGGTAAAAGGTAAACCACACAAATAACACTTTTTAATGCACATCAAAACAAATAGTACACATGCTTAGAAATCATCTCTGTTCCAAATAGTACAATTACAAATTACATGATTACTTCAATATTTTCCTAATATACAATGAAAGTATCTCTTTTCAAAACCTATAGTACATAGTAAAAGAGAGCTGCATAGCCAACTAAAAAAAATCGTTTTGTGTGTTCATTAGTCCTACTTTAAATAGAAATTTGGAAACATTTAAAATAAATCTGTATAAACATAAAATTTAAAAGTAACCTTTTAAAATAATCTAATCATTAAGAGATTTTCAATATGTACTTGAGAAGGTAACTTGACTCGATCAATAAGGTCAAGTGAGTTGAGAGAGCAAATTTCATAAAAAAAGAATGAATGAAAGAACAAATAAAATAAAGAATGAACGAAAGAATGAAAGAAAGAATGAACGAAAGAACGGATGAAAAAAAGACAGAAAAATAACAATCGCACACCTTTAGTTTGTTTTTCAGACAATCAAGTATCAACAAATAATTTAAATTCTCCATAGAGCAATAAGACCAAGAAGCAGTTAAATGACACTAATGACCGTGTCCATCAAGAATAATAGAGTATTGCTATTTTTGAGAGCAGGAGAATAAGATATAGCATAATGCCTTCAAAAGGAAAACCTATTCATATCAGTTCTCTCTACCTTTGAGAACAAATTTTAAACTAAACCAGTAGAACTGTAGAACTTCTCAAAACCATAGAACACACTACAGTAAAAATGAAAAAAAATTCAAGAACATTAGCATGGTACAATTATATGTAGAAATAGTTTCTGAATCAGTTCTGCATCTCATTTTCCCAGTGTAAATGCCTCTCAATTTACTTGTATCACATACAACTAAGAAACAATATACAGTTATCACAAAAATTAAATAAAAATAAAAAAGTACCATTCTTGAACCACTTTTGCACTGGTAGACTACTGCACAAATCAGTATTAAAAAAATCTTATTATAAAATTCAATATTTTCACACAGAAAAGTTGTGAAGATTGTGTTCAATATTTAGATGTAAGAGGTTGACTTACAGATGTGGGGGGGTAGTTCCTTGCCCCTGCAGGGGGAGGGGCATGGGTGCCCCCCTCAGGGTACGACATGTCAGCCATTGGAATGTCCTCTCCCTACAACAGCAAGGCATAGCAATGGCAATGATTAATTCACACAAATCAGAAAGAACTTCAGACAAAGCCAATTCAAAAATCAATATACCATTACAAGGTCAATGTAATTACTGACAAATTTAACAGTTGACAATTAATGCTCACAATCACAAAATTTCAAAAAATTGTTTTCAAATCAATGAATATTACACCAATAATTTTTTCTCACTATTATTCATTTCCAATCATTGACTCCTTGTGCACTCTCACAGAAATAATTTCTTTGATACATATTTGTTCACCAGTTAAAATTTTGCTAGATTCTAATTAATTATAAATATCCTCAATGATTTCTAAAATGTTCTCATATAGCGGTAAAGTATTAACAGGTCTAAATTCTGATGCTCTGATTGTTCTTTGAATTTTAGGAACTGGTACATTGTTGAGATTTTTTTCATTTTCAGGAACAATTCCTTCCAAATGTGATTTATTTAGTAATTCCTGTAATCTGTCTTCCAAAATACCATAAGACTGTTTTATTACATCAATAATGACTATCTTAATTTTTTTTTCCCACTTACAATTTAAAAACACTTTTTTTAAAAATTAACTTTGGTCAATGTTATCAAATCTATTAAAGGTACTATTAGTCCACATTATTAACCAGATAGTTTCTTCCTAGATTATTTAAGTTTTAGATAAGTGATACTCATTTGCTTATTTAATATTAATTTGGGTACATTATCTCTAAAAACATAACTACCTACACTTGTCACATTGTACTTTTTCATTGTGAAAAAAGAACATTCTATATTACTCCTGGTAAAAATATTGTAAATACAATATTTTTCAAAGATCTTTCAAAACTCTTTACTGTTATATTAACTACATATGTTACTGTTTCAGAACTCTGTACTGATGTTCAACAATCTTCTGGTCAAAGAAATTTTTGTTTCCGAGACTGTATTAACCTACCTGTTTTATTTCTATCTTTTCAAATTTATTTTGATCTTAATTTTCACTAGATAAGACAGCTTTCTTATACAATCAATCCCTAATTCTCCTTTCAGAATCATATCATTCATTTCTGAACCATTTTTCAAGCAATATCTTATTTTACTAGACTAGGACCACTTTTACAGAAAGCACTATACAAAAAATATCTTGTAGTAAACTGAAAATAAAGTTAAACAAAAAATATAATTTGATTTCATAACCCACTCAAATTTTAGTCGCAGCTGCAGAAGCCATACAGGATTTGATCCCAGAAAAATTAAAACCACAATATAAAAAGGTGTATTAAAGTGTGACGTCATGGATACTCACAGCGACCACAGACACAGAGCTTCCATATAACAATATATTTATTAACAAAGAAAACAAAACAAATATATACACTTAATATCCTACTTACACCTACAACCTAGCTCTGATGCTCCCTTATCCTGATTGCGGGAGCGATCCAAACCGATTGAAGATGGTTGTGATTGTGGGCATTCGCACTCCTACTTCTGAAGCGCACGAAGCCTAGCTTCCCGTGACCAGAGTCACGCTAGGAGACAAAGTCGTTCTGCGCACCAGAGCGGCTTGGTTTGATCGATCGGCAGGAGGATCTATCCGATTGAGAATTGGCTGAACTCGTGGCACTCAACACTCTTCACCTCGGAGCACGCACACAGCATCCTCCCCCGGGAACGCAGTCACCCAAGGACTAAAGTCGCAGGTTTCGTGAACTAGTGATCTGAAGCTTCGCGACGCCTGGCTCGCATATGCATCCGTCGTGGCGCAAAGTTTGTTGCAACATGCACAGAGGTTTCTCACTGTTCCAGAACCCACTTACTGGCTTTTTGTACACTCTGTTATATAGGCGAGGCCCACGTGACCTTATACATCTACGCCCCCCCCCCCCCCGTTGTTATACCTGTGAAAATTTCTAAGCGCCGGAAGACCCCAAAGCCTTGTGTCTCCCGTTTCGCGTTCTTAGCTTTTAGGAAAAACCTTCTTCCTGTGGCGAGGCTAATCCTTCTACCAGCGCCAATTAGATGCCAATGAGGCACGCTGACTATAGCGTTCAAAAAGCATTGCAATACAAAATCATGAAGATATGATTACAGAAGATGGCAATGTTAGTTATGTTTAAGAACTTGGTAGGTTAATTTACATTATATTTTTAAAAGACAAACTATTTTTAAGTTTGTTTAACGAAGTCAATGGCACATAGTCACCTCATTATGGATTTATTATTCAATGCAGAGTTGCACAAAAGGTGTAACGAAAACGTAGGCTTGAAAACATCCACAAGCTTTATGCATTCTTAAAGAGATTTAATGTTAATGTGCAAAGAAAACAAGCAAAGTTTTCCGCCAATGATAATGCAATGAAGTTCTTGATAGAGGCTGGGGATGAAGAATGACTTGGCATCAGTCAACATGACTAGGCTCACATAATTACAGGTGAGAACTAGCTTTGGGTGCAACGTGTTAGGGGGAAGGGTGAGGGAGGGGGAGAGAAAGAGAGGAGATAACCTAGATTTTTTTTAGAACAAGGTGATGATAATTCACCAAATGGAAAGTTGGGCACGTAGATGCGTGCTCTCAAGAAGTGTGGGCCCTCGCTTGAAAATATGGTGTATCCATGGCAGTGTATAATCATGGTTGGTGATCCGAAATAAACAGAATGTGTATGGGATAGTGTAAATTGTCCACATCTTGTAAAATAATTCTGTTAAAATGTTCTGGTCTGTTGCTTATTTAATTACATCACACAAGGTGTTCCCGAAACAGGTATTTCTGCCACCATAAGCACATCCCAAACAGGAGAAAAGCTCTAAGCTGCCAACTGGTATCGCCAGCATGTGTGGTAGTGTGTTAATGTAAATTCTTACATGTAGTGAAGTGTGAGTAAATAAGGCTGAGATTAGGGCAAGAAAGAAAAGGAAAAATGTGTCAGTCCGTTGCCTGTTGTTAGGGTACTGCTTGCAGTACTTCTGCTTGTGTTATTTGGAGAATCCCAGAAAACACAGTTCAGGGAGACAGGATAGAGAAGGAGGAACGGAGAAGGAAGCAGTGGGGAAAGGAAAGGAGGAAGGGGAAAAGGAAAGGAAGCAGTGGGAGGGAAGGAAGGGTACGCGGAAGGAGGGAAGGGTAGAAGAGAAAGCTCAGGGGAGGAGGAGCAGGGATGCAAACGCAGGGCAGGAGGGAGCAGGAGTGACAACAGAGGGAGGGGAGGGAGGAGGGAGTGACAAAGCAGAGGAGGGAGGAGGAGGCGAGGGTAGTGACAAAGCAGAGGGGAGGGGGAGGAGAGGATGAAAAGCAGAGGGGAGGGGGGAGGAACGTGACAAAGCAGAGGGGGAGGAAGAATGGTGAGAAGAAGGATGAGAGAAGGCAAAGCAGGGGGGAGGAGAGGAGTGAGAAGCAGAGGGGGAGAGAGTAAACAAGAAGGGAGGTGTGTTGTCATTGCTGCAGTTTTGTATGCTGATGTCTCTCTCTGACTGCAGTAGTTGTTATTCTTTACATATTTATTACAATTCCTTTGCAAAATGAAAATCTGGTAATAATCTAATTTTTCATTGATTTGAGGATAATCTTATCCCAATTCAATGGACATCGCAAATCTACTCTATCTTGAAATTAAATTCTCCAGTTGTAAGTGAAGTGAGTAATAATAAACATATTTTTGTACAATAACCATCCAGATGGGTGTTTCATTCTGTATCCTACCAAAGAGCAAATGCCCATAATCTTTCCTTTTATTTTTTGGAGGG